TATTTTTGGCTTTTCATTTATTGATAATTTATTTCACAAGTAATTTTGATCTCAATTCTAAATTTTTAGTTTGATGGAGTTGATCAATTTGTGTACTAAGCTATTTATATAACAACTTTTTATTTTATACAAAATAAAGTTTCTAAAATTCCTTGAAATGTAGATTTTTATTTTTATAATTTTTATAAACTATTATTAATTTTTAAGTTTATTTTTATGGTTGAGTATACAGCAGTTATTTTTTTTATATGTAAATTTTATGGCTGCTATTTCAATAATCTATATTTTTAGCAGAAATATGTGTATTAATATATATTTTTTGGTGCTAGAAATGCCTAACTTTTTACACCTGTTTTATCAGAGAACATTTACACTTTTTTCTCATTTTAATGTGTCATCAAATCTTGTAAATGTGTATCCACATTTGTAAAAGAAATTCACACAACGCATTTTAAAAGCAACACAGCTGTATATATATATATATATATGTTTTATTTACTCTGTATATTGTTGTATAGCTAATAAATTTATGAAGTCTCGTTAATGTTGCGTTGTGGTATCTGGAATTTTAGAAATTTATTCTGGAAAGTCTGGAAAACTCAGGGAATTTTTTTTGATCTGGAGAGTGGCCACCCTGTATATTGCATATACACTAATGGAGGAGAAAAAAATCCTAACACCAAGAAAAAATTATTGTAGAGTAAAGAAATTTCGGCAATGCGTTTGTCTGAGTAACATATTTAATTGATTAAAGCTTCAAGATCACTGGTTACATCAATTAAGAGAAGAACCATTTCAAATATGAAGTATTGGTACATTAATAACTGTTGTAGTTACCGGAATTTTGAATGCATGTATTGTGTCATACAGATGCAGTATGTCATTTTGTGGGATGGAGTTCCATGCCTGTTGCATAGGGTCAGTCAATACAGAAATAATTGTCGTCCAATGATGTGCCATACGTGTTCGATTGGTGAAAGATCTGGTGATCTAACAGGCCAATACAACATGTCGACATTCTGTACGTCTGTTGGATTTCAACAGCAGTGTGAGAGCTAGCATATCCCGTTGGAAAATAACACCTTGAATGTTGCTCATGAATGGAAACAAAACAGGTTGAAGTAAAAATTTGCAGTCAGGGTGTGTAGAATAACCACGAGAGTGCTCCCCAGACCGTAACTGAAGGGTTCAGGTCCAGTGTGTCTGGGCCGCAAACAGGTTTGTAGCAAGAGCTCATCTGCTACCGATCATATATATACACTCACAATTAAATCGTTATTTTAATATCGTTTATTTGTTTACTATTGACACATACAAAAGTTTTAATTTTAAAAATTAGAATTTTATTAAAATGAATATAATTTTATATTCATTTCTCTATACGTATAATACGGTTGGAAAAAATATTGTACTAAGTATTACAATGATTTAAATTGCATATTAGTCATTTTAAAACTTTACTGATAGTAAGAATTAATTTAAAATTTTAAATTAGAAAAAAAAAATCCTTTCTATCTTTACACATATAGTCTTCTCAAAAAAAGTTAGAAAAATCTAACATACAAGCCACTTTAAAAGCAGATTTCCTATATATTATTTTTTTTTTCAAATTCATTTTATATAATGGTTACAAGGTGACAGCACCAGAAATAAAATCAGTATTTTTCGCCTGCCTTAACATCGACGTGCGGAGAGTACATTAGTTTCTGTCTTGATTTTCAAAAAGATTAAAATCTTTTAAGTTAGGAAACTACATTGAACTGAAAACCGCATTAAGCATAGTTCTAAAATATTTGTAACAATTAAATACGAAAAATATTAAGAAATGGGAAAATATCGTAGTAGTACATTCATATTCAACTGAAAAGGGAAAAAAACATGGAACCGGTCTTCTTCCCAGATGGTGTATTCGAGCGTTGTGATTGAAGGAAATACATTAGTTTCTGTCTTGATTTTAAAATAGATAAAAACTTTTAAGTTTGGAAAAGTATATGTACTGGAAACTATATTGAACATAGTTCTGAAAAAACGCATCGTGGAAATTAGAAAAAAAAGTATTTTCGACGATTCACGATCGCAGTGCTTGAATGCGTCATCTGGGGAGACGACCGGTTCCATGTCTTGATCCTTTGCTTAATTGTATTGGAACATACTACAATATTTTCCCTTTTCTTAATATTTTTTGGTTTCACAGTGGACTGATCATGAAGACGCAGTTCCCAGAAGTCAAGCATCCCTAGCTTCGGTCAGAAAGCGGATGGGTGACCACTTCGATCAGTGTATGTAGGGACCGAGGTTGCGCGCATAGGGGGATTAAGCGTACGTGGGGCCCTTAGATTAAATTTTTTTCTCGTATATTTGTCAGTAATTTTTTTTAAGGTGGCCCCTAATCATTCGGGGCCCCAGGTCATGGCCAATAGGGTTATCCGCCCTGGCTGCCCGGTTCTACCGTAAAGTGCTCTACTTCGCACGTAGTTCATCGGGCTGCTAAAGCAGGGGAGCCATCTCCTCTGCAGAGGATCAAAATTTCTATGCCATCCTCAGGGATGTTCTCCTGATCGTCGCCAATAGCCCATTGTGCAGCTCTAGTGCGACGTAAATAAAATAAAGTACCTACCTTAATGTTTTTGATATTTAACTGTCAAAAAATATTTTTAAAAATTTTCACGACGCTTTTCGCGATCGCAACACTCGAATACGCCATCTGGGGAGAGACCGGTTTCATGCCTTTAGCCCTTCTCCCTTCCCTCTCCTCCTCTTTTCAGTTGTATAGGAATGTACTACGATAATTTCTCTTTTCTTAATATTTTTCCCTTTTATTTAATAAAAATATTTTTTAAAATTTCTATGATACTTTTCTTTAGAGCTATGTTTAATGCAGTTTTCAGTTCCATATAGTTTTTTAAGTTAAAAGATTTTAATCTATGTGAAAATCAAGAGAGAAACTAACGTAGTTCCTTCCTCTATGACTTTCCACACGCTAATGGGGAAAGCATGTGAAGTGTTGCCAAAGGAAAAGAGTTCTGCTCTACGCCACCTGCAGCCCATTTTGATCGCCATTAATGCAGTTTCCTAAAAAAAAACTTTTCTAACCGCAAAACTGAGTCATAATTCTTAGGATCACATTAGCAGATGAACTGAGATACTCGTTCGAAGGACAGAAATACAACCTCAACGTATCAACAATCAATTAATCAACAATGTTGAGGAAATTTAGCAAAGTGAGGATTTCAGAGACAGGAATAAAGGATAAAATATCTCACAATATTCTTTGAATTATGAAATTTCTGGAAATAAATATAAATATAGATCGTCAGCCCTGTTGATATAACTTTTAAATATGAGTTGCACTTTTAATCAAAGAGACATTTTAATATGCAATGAAAATTCGGTGAAAGGTATTCATCAACAAACCAAGCTTTTGATATCGTTTTTGAAGGAAGTGTCGTACTTAACAGAAGCATACATTTTGGTTACTTATTTTTTATATTTCTTTTTCATACTTATAATGATTTATTAAATAAATTATTATGTTTAGATGGATTGTTTTTTTTAAAACTTTCCCCCCCGTTGTTGCCTCGTGTTTTACGGGGTATAAGATAGAGCATAAAAGTTACTTAAAGCAGGACATGACATTTCAACTTGCCATTCGCAATTATGTACTTTATTATGTATTATTATGTATACGTAGTTGGCGATGGAAAACCCTATGTCGAAGTGGGACATTTAATGATAAAGAGAAAAAGAGGTCAACGATATTTAAAAAAAATTTACTGACTTCTTATAGACATCTCTTTATTACGGGGAGATTTCCGTATCACGATCTGTGGCAGAATAATCTTCCTAGCAGCGGCCCGCTAAAAACTAAAAAAAGCATCACAGAAAGGGACCAACTCGAAAGGTATAACTCGTAACCACCCCCGAACAAGAATCTACATGTTTTTTTTAAAGAAAATTTGCAAGTTTAGAATCTATTTGGCACCTGGCGATTGTAGTTGGATTGTGCGGAAATATCCCCCATATTTTTTCCTGTTATTGTACTTCATCTCCGTTGCTAGTTCAAATAATAGTTTGGGTTTTTATCATCTGAGCAATGTTGTAGTCGGAAGTTCTGCAAACAGCAGTGTAATTACTAAAGGGGATAAACTATCAAAATAAATCAAACTAATAAAAATGTTAAACTCTAATATATAAATTTCTATTTTAGATTCATTATGTAAATATGAGCTAAGGTGTCTCAGTGGTTAAAGGTACAAATCTATAATTGTGAAGGACAACAGTTTGATTCCAATTGACGGCTTAGGTACACCTTGCTTCAGATTAATATGGGAATTTGAAGTCTGCTTTTACATTCTTGCTCATCTCTTTTTTTTTTATTATTATTTTAAAATCATAGTTGAATAGCCAACCCAATTTTGGGCTTACAACTACTAATGTTCAACTCCGTAGTCATGTAATTTTGAACCCAATCCAGATGACAAGGGAACTCTTGGATCAAGTATAAGGAGAAATTTGCCTTTGTCAAAGACTTTTTGATCAAACTAACCTGCATTTGTGTTACGTATGGTCATGTAATTGTGGGCATTATCTTTAATGAATCCCTCACTTAGCCTACAAGAAGGAATGCTTTATCATGTAAAAATATGTGGCAATAAGTTTAATTATAACCAAGCATTGTCAATATTTTTTGTTCAAAGCTTTTGAAGAATAAATATGAAGAATATTTAAATTTTAATTTGAAAATTTATTAAATTTTAATGTACTTAATTGAATTTGTTTATGCATGTGAGTGAGTGCAGTGTTCAACTATTACCTTTCCTTCATGGCAGACTATGCCCGACAAGGGGTCAAGTCTCCCCTGATAGGGAGGCTCAAACAAATTAATTCAAAATATTTAAATTAAAACAAATATTATACTTAGCATTTTTTTCTCACATCATTTTTTTCAAGTGTGTCTCTAAGAATCTAAATTCACTAACAGTGATACCATTATGTGCAGTTTCATTTAAATGTAAATTTAAATCTCATTTTTTTTCTGTTATCGATGTATTTTTTACTGTATGGTGCAATTTACCTCACACTGTAACCTTATAAATTACTTCGGTAATGAAGAAAAATAGTTCCGGCAGTCACCGCTATTTCAAAAAATTTCTACGCTTCTTACTCTCATAAAGCAAAAATTATTTGATAATAAGAACTTGAAATTTCATGCACATTTAACAAACTATTTAAGGAACATTTTGATATGAAAATGTTATTTTTATATGCATTGATTGACTTTTGAATTATTTAAAAGTTTTGCAATTAAAGTTAAAAGTAAATTTTTTGTATCCACGTATTCTATCTAAAGATATCATGCCTCGTTTTGAACGAACTTCGAAATGGTTATGCCAAATAATTTGTAAAATTCGATTTTTTTAAAATTGTTACATAGTATAATTTTACGGACTAAAAAAGAGCTGTTTTTAGCATGGAACTTGATGTTAATATATTGTAAATAAGTACATAGAGACTTTTAAAATTTCTCCTTATGATTCCTTTTTCTTTTCAAAAGATGCTTTTAAAGTGAACATCTATGTTCAGCAAAATGCTAATTTCTCCATTTGAGAAAAATAGTGAGTCTATCGGCTTAAAATATAAAACTCAAACAATATAGCTAAAATTTGTAATGATTTTTCAATTAACAAATTTTAAATTTGCGTCCGAGAAACTCCAGAGCTGAAAGCAGATTCCACCAAGATTTCTGTTTTGTCCTGTAGAAGCCTTTTACATATTGGCATACGCCTGCAACGAATAGCCTTTCACACAGTTGCTTTTGCTTTTATAGTTATGAATTTTAAGTCACAAAAAATAGACGCAAAAAATCAAAGAGTTAGGGGACCAAATTTCGAAAAATACGAGTTTTTTTTATTTTATTTCTCAGGATTTATTTGACCAATTTTGCTTAAATTTTGTATTTTGACATTTAAAATTGCATTCTTTCAAATGTTGAAAAAATTGCATACCTTACATTTCTAAAGTTTTTCGACTTTCATTAATTAAAGTAATAATAAGAATTATACTTTTGTATGAAATTATCTTTAGAGAAACGAATTGGAATTGATTGATATGATTGGAATTGTATGCAAAACTTTTTCAATTCCCTTAAAAAAATTTGGGATATAGTGAAATACGCAAAAACTAAAGTTAACATGAAAGAGTCCAAACTTTCAAACGATGTTTCTAGATTGAAGCTACTATATTTTGGGGGTCAGAAATCCGAATCTGATGAAAAAAAGTATGTTTAATCAGAGAAAGTACGTTTTTATGTCTGATTTCCTAGCTTAAAATATCATTTGCACTAATTAATTAGTACATTTATTATTTATTAATTATATATTATGTACCCTAATTATATATACTAATTAATTTTATATACCCTCTCGAACCATTAAGAATGAGTCCTAGAACATAAAGATCCGAGCTTTCGATAAAAAGTTATTCCGGTGGGTCCATTTATTTTTTTGCGTACTGTACATTCCAGGGTTGGCAAGATTTTGCCACAGGTGGAAAAAACCATGGTAAATACCGGTAAAAACCGTCCTGGCAAAAACAGGTTTTTGCCAAGCAAAGTGGCAAAAACCTATATTTTCCAAGATGAGAGGACAAAAACACATTTTTGATACAAAATTATTCCTAAAATTGAAATATATACTATGAATATAAATAATTACAAAAAAATTAACAAAACTATTATTCCATAATTAAATGATAATGTATCATTTTAGTAGTTTAAAACATTATTGATTGGAAAATTTGTGATTATTCTCTTTTTTCCAGTGAAATGAACTTATTTTTAAATTAATACAAATATAATTTAAAGCATAAAATATCTATCAACATGTGTAGTTAATTATTGTACAAATAATAATTTTTTATAATAAATAATAGTATTATACAAATAATAATATTTATTTGTAAAAAAACATTTATTTTAGGATTCTAAAATGAAAAGAGATCAAAAACTTTCAATCTTTTAAAAATTATTACCCTTATATTAATTATTAATATGTTAAAAATAATTTTTTCATGTAATGTATCAAAATTATTATTCCTTATGATTGATTTAAATTTGTTTCAAGTATTTTGTAATAATATTTAATCAGCAATTTAGATAATTTGGTTTTTGCCGGTTTTTACCAGTTTTTGCCGGTTTTTACCAGGTTTTTGCCACTGTCCTGGCAAAAAACCCTTTTTGCCGGCAAAAACTCCAACCCTGGTACATTCATTTCAAGTATATGTCAATATTTCTGATAATAGCAAAAATCTTTTTCATTTTTATATAGAGAGGTAATTTAGCTGGTGGTTATTCACATATATATGCTTGGATAACTTTAAGGATTATGATTGGAAAAGGAAAATAAGGTGAAATGATGTTCACTTTCAATATTAATAAAACTAAACTAAAATAAACTCAGTGGCGCGACAGCCCATAGAGGGCCAAGGCCTACTGTGCCCATCTCAGTTTTCTTGAGCTTNTTTTGATAATTAATTTCTATTTTTTATATTTTTTTTCTGTAATTGTTTTACAAGAAAACTTCTTTTGATTAAATTGCTCAAAAATAAAGGATACAAGGCCTGGTATCAGTACCGTCTTTACGCATGGGCACACCCGGGCAGTGCCCAGGGGCCCCAGGCACTCAGGGGGCCCTTGAGAATCTTACCTTTTATAAATTGTATATTAAAAAAACAACTAAGAATAAACAACTTTGCATTATATAATTTTTAAAATAAATTCCAAATAGCAAAATATGGTTTATTTTCACTCAGCAAAAACCTTTTAATGTATACCCGAAAAGGTTGGTTATGCGGCTTACGTGTAAATCTTCTAACCTTAAAACGAGATCTGTGGCAATCTGCTCTATTCTAAGCACATTACCCTGGTCCAAAACCTTTGAAAACAACCTTCTATATAAAAACCTTAAATCGAGGTTGACTTAAGAGTTTTCAAGCGTGAAAAAAATCCTTTAGTAAAGCTAGTCTTAAGGTGAAAATACCCTTAAACCTTTCTTTTCACAAAGTCTTGCATGCTCAGCTAAAATCCACCTTGTCATGAAATTTTAATGAGCAATGCAGTTTGATCCTATCGTTAGTGTGACGTCAACTAAACCGTCATTATGGACCTAAGTGACCATTTTACTTAAGAGACAACACTTATTTTTTTAAAAAAAAGTCTTAAAAAATAATTTGTAATCCTTTTAGGATGAAAGGTTTAAAAACTGAAATATTTTTGCCTTATTAAAAAAAGGTTTTTAGTACAAAAACTTTCGTTCGACAATAAGAAGAAAATTCCGACAGAAGGTAGCCGTAAGGTTGCATGCTTTCTGGGATATATATACTAGTGTAAAAAGTGCGCATTTTTTTTTCTAAGAATAGTGACTGATTACCATGCAAACACCAACAGTTTGAATAGTTTATCACTCGGAAAAATAAAAAGTCAGCCGAAATCTATTTTTCTTCGTTAAAATGAAGTTTTTAGGTGCTCAACTCCCTAAGTGATAATGTCTCTGAATATGTTTGAGATCACAGAAGTCAAGCATCACTGGCTACGGTCAGTGTGAGGGTGGGTAACCACTTGGATCAGTCTGCGTAGGGACCGAGCATGTGCGGTATGGGTCCTCGTTAAACTGTTCTACCGTAAAGTGCTCGACTTCGCGTGCAGGTCATTGGGCTACCGAAGCGGGGGTGCCATCCCCTCATCAGAGGATCAAAATTGTGATGGCATGTTTTCGGATCATCCTCCAGGGATCTTTCCCAGACCGTCACCAATAGCCCGTTGTGCAGCTCCAGTGTGACGTAAATGAACTACAACAACAACTAAATATGCTTCACAACCAACTCTGTTCAGTATTTATAGTTAATTAAAGTAATAATTGAAAGTGTTTCGAATCATACGACAGCAACTTTTAAACTGGTTATGTCTGATATGCATTGAAAGATGTTTAAATATTAATATTATAATAACTGACTTTTTAATAGTTTGACGAAACAATTCATAACTTTTGAATTTTTTTAACTGCTATACCCTAGCCGCGTTGGCTCAGGGGATAGAGCGTTCGCCTTCCAATGAGGTGAACCGGGTTCGAATTCAATAATGGCTGGTCGATACGAATCTGCATTCGGCTTGCACAGACCACAGTGCTGACGTGAAATATCCTTAGTGGCAGACGGATCATGGGTTAGAGTCCCCTTGCCGTAAGACTAACCGTGGGAGGCTCTTGTGGTCTTCATCTCCATGTAATGTAAATGCGGGTTAGTTCCACTGAAAAAGTACTCCAAGAATGCAAAATTTCTCCCGATACTTGATACAAGAACTCCTTTGCTTTCTATATTGAGTTCAAAAGTAAAAGGCTACAGAGTTGAACATTAGAAGTCGTAAACCCAAAAATTGGATCTGCTGTTCAATGACGGTTATAATAGAAAAAGAAAAAATTGTTTAACCCTTGGCCGGGATAGCCTGGTTGGTAGGGCACTGGGCCCATGTATAAGAGTTCGTGGGTTTGATCTCCACCGGCCGAAAACTCCCCGTGTAGTAAATGGTGACTGATGCACGTTAAGTCTGTCGAATCACAAAGTCCTCCATGTTCCCATAACAAGTCATACCTCTGGGGGTATGACAGTCAAATAACTCCTATCCAGGAGTTTCCTTGTCTTCTGGATTGGTTCAAAATTACAAGGCTGCGGAATTGAACATTGGTAGTCGTAAACCCAAAAATTGGGTCGACTGCTCAGCGACGGTTACAAAATAAAATACAAAAAAGTTTTTAGGGCGGGACGAGGTATAAATAAACAATAAACAATACCCCTATGCTTTTTATTTTACTTATTTTAATTAGCTTCTTCGTTTTGAAAATTACTTACTATTTGAGGATTGCAATTTGTTAGCATCTCATTTTTTTAAGAAAAATTATGCCTAGTTTAAAAATGCTTTATTTTATGTGCATTGAGTTTTTGGGGCTATAAAAATGTGTTTAACTTTGTTAAAATTATTGCATATCTTAAAAATGCTTAATTTTATGCATGTGAAGTTTTTTAGTTCTATTTTAAACAGTAATAGGGGCCCAAAACATTTCCGTGCCCGGGGGCCCTGCTTGCCCGACCTGAGGATCGAACCCAGGACCTGTTGCACGAGTGCGCAAAGCGCTGCCACTCAGTCACCGGGCATCATTGGCATATTTAGGAAAACTAAATTAAAATGATGAAAAGATATGCTTCGTTAATTGCCACTCAGTCACCGGGCATCATTGGCATATTTGGGAAAACTAAATTAAAATGATGAAAAGATATGCTTTTGTTAATTTTAATTATAAGGAAATGCTTTTTCCTCAAACGAATTTTTGTCACTTTTGCGGAAAGCTAATATAAATATTTTTTTAACTTGTTATAAACAAAGAATTTTTGTATCTTAAATATGAATGTTTTGAAGGTATCGTAATATCGGACTTCTCGCAATATGAATCTCGATATATCAAGCTTTCCCTGTACTTTCATTTGCAAAAATACGAAAGGAAGTTTTGGTTTAAAGAATAAATATTTGGACCTATGGAAAGTGTATTAAAATTTTACTGAACTAGTTTTGATACGTGTTGCAAAAAAATTCCAAGAAAAAAAATTACAATCTTAAATTTTTATTTTAATTGAGAATTTTTTTAATGCATTTTTTTAAGTTTTAAAACATTTAAAATTTACAAAACAAAAATAAGTCAATTCTAGATGATTAAATGAGAATATTTTTCTTTTTCATTTTATACAAAATTCTTGCGAAATAAATAGAGTTTACATTTTACCCAAAATAGGTAAATAAAGAATTTCAAAAGAATTGAATAAGTTTAATTTATTGCAAGACTTAAGGTGTTTACTTTATTTAAGTTCTGGATTAATTCGTGCAGATTTTTGCTTTTAACACTAGAACCTGTAGTTTTGCTATTTTTAACCGAACTTAGAGTACAAGGGAACTTATTGGTAAAGTTTTATGACAAATTCACTTTTATGGAGGACATAAGAATTGATACAAGCTCACATTTGCTTTACATTTGAAAAAAACAAGCAAAAAAACAACATGAAAATACTCTACAATGAAATAATATAAATGGTTAGCTCAAGGGCAAGATTATTCTCACACATGATCCAAATGGAGGTATTGTATGTTGGAACTGTTGTCAGTGCAAACCGAGAGCAGTATATGAAATAACATGGGAATTCGAACCCAAGTCTCATCAATAGGAAGTGAAATCACTTATGTCATAAGTCATATCGGCTTTAGAATATTTATTAATTAAGTTGTAAAAAACAATGGAAAATTTAAAATGCAGTATGTATTATAAATTTCGTTATAATGTAAACGCGCTATATGTCGATTAAAGGAGTTGCTGTGCAGTTTTGCCATTCCCCCATCACACAATTTTGGAGAAAACAGTGTCTATAATAATACAACAAACAAACAAATAAATAAAATTTGGCGTAATAGAATAAATTCTTATTTTTGAAGTTTTTTTTTAAAAAAAATTTCTGATTTGTATGTCCATTTTGTTAATCCAATTTTTTTTTATTATATTAAAAAAAATAATTCTTTTCATGATTAGAAGCACTATTTCTGATGGAATAGCATGTGCATTTTAACTACAGGATGATCGAGGTCTTCTTTATTGTTGTTTATAAGACAATTTGGTAGTTATTACAAGTCTATTTTAATATTTTAACTCATACATGAGCAATTATAATTGAATATATAAATATATACAATATTTAAGAGCAAATAAAAAAAAACGATTGACAGAACAAACGTAGTTTTCCACTACTTCCAAATAATTTAAAAATCGAATTCTTTACATTAATCGGTGTGACGTTTAACAAAATACTTTAAAAATTCAGTAAATAAATAAAGACATTTTAAAAAATATTTGATATATTTAAAAGATAACATGATGGTTATTTTATGGAGTGTTTAGTGTAAAGACAAGATAATATATTTGCTATGTGAAGTTAAAACTTGATAGTTTACAGTTTTTATTTAACAATTAATTTTCTTTTTAGGATTATTTTGTTGAATCATTGTGGACTAAAATACCATCTAGTTGGCATGATGTTATACAGAACTCTGAAACTTCAGATTTAGCTATGTTTCTTAAATATGAAGAAAGTGTTAAGTATTGAAATTTTATCTGCATTTTTGTTTATTATTTAGCAAATGCAGTAACGTTTTTTTTTCTTCTTTCCAATAACTGATTTCTTTCATCTGATTTTAAAAATAATATATTTCAATCAACAGTGCCGTAATTATAGAATTGAGACATTATAATTGTCACATCATAGTGTCATATTCACTGTGTCTTTGCTTCAGGATTATTGAAACCCTACTTTAAAGTTTTTAGATTAAGCATGTCTTGAATTTGATTATAAATTTAAATTAAATATATATATGAGGAAATATTAATAGTTATTGGCTATAATTTTTTTTTTTTTAATGAACTCATGCCATAAAAATTATCTATATTTTGATCTCTAACCATCATGTATTTGTTCATTCTCCATTAAAAAAATTATGCTGTAAATTGTTGTAATTTTTTATTCCAAATAATTTATTACTGAAATAAAAATATCTAGTATATTTTATTATGTTTTTGTCATAAAATTTACCTTTATTATACAGAAGTAGAGCAGATGAAACTTTTTTTCTAGTTTGTTTGCTTTTTTCAGAAGTAGTCTGGGTTCCAAAAATGTCCTGGTTATTTAAATTTTTTTTTCTTGTTGATTTCTTTACTTCATTATGAAACCTGCATTTATTGAAAGGAATTCTTAAAATAATTTTAATTAAAATAATGCTGCTATAACAGACAAACAGAAGTTATTCTCTTTATTAAACACCTTTATATTTAAAGATATCAATTATAATGCATATTTGGTTGTAGAAATGATGTTATTTTATTTGGTAGTAATTCACAAATATTTCTGGTGTAAAAATTTATTGCAGCCACATTCTAAATGAAAGAAAATTCTTGTTTAACAACTGAGAAATTAACTAAATTTTTAGCTTTTTAGCACACTATTTCTTAACATTACCTCGAATGTTGTGTTAATTCTTTATTAGATACTTGCCCAGTAAAATATAAAGTTGGAAATTAATTTTCATCTAGAGACCACAGAGTATCCAATACTTATTTTTATTAAAATTTTAAATTCAAATAAAAAATATAAAATTAACAATAACATTGGCTAGAAATGGTCCGAGAACAATTTTGTTTATTTTGACTTAATGCTTTTTTAAATCTTATTGTGTGCGGACTTCATAACTGTCAGTTCAGCATCTTTTATCATCCTCATTCTAGGTCTCAGAAGCCTTGGCCATTAAGTTTATTGTCAATAAGAGCCTGTATATCATCTTTATCGTTATATCGTAAATCAATTATTTCACCTCAAGCCATACTAAATTTTCTCACTCAAACATATAAAGTAGATCCTAAAATCCCAATTATCCAAGAGGAATTTAGTAAGTAATGCTGATTTTTTTTAATATTTATAAAAATAATTCTGGTTTTTGAACTTTGCATTTCTTGCAAGGTACTGAAGTACATTAGTTTCTTATCCTTACAATTGTTTTAATGTGCCTTTATTTCAATTAAAAAAAAGAAAAATTGAAACTGATTTTGAAAACTTACCATTAGTAATTAAATTTTTTTCTTACAAAATCCTTTTCCGTTCATTTATTTTGAAATATTGTTTTTAAATACAATAAGTTATATCAAGATACTCTTTGGCTTACAAATGTTTGCATGGCAACAGTCTGTCATTGATATGAGACTATATCACTTCCAATTTTAAAAAAAGGTATTAACGCTATTTTTTATTTTATTTTATAAGCTTCACATTTCCGACTTTTTTGGACTATTTTTATTTGTAAAAAAATTGACTTTTGTGTTAAACAAGAGCTTTGAAGGAAAAACAAAGTTTTCATTACTGTTTTTAATCCAACATAACTAAGCAATCCTCAAACTAACTCTCAATGTTTGCCAATATTGCTAAGTTTAGATGTTACCTCTAACATTTTGATTGCAAATGTTACATTTTTGTTACATTTACAAGATTGCAAATGTTACATTTTATCATTTATCTGTATTTGGAGGAAAGTGTAAGACTAATTTCCTTATACAGTAGAGAACCAATTATCCGGGATGCTCGGGACCATCGCTATCCCGGATATCTGAATTTCCCGGTTTTCTGGATCGACCAAAAAGTGTCGATAATCGATGCTTTATCGCACCCGAAGTGCAAGGAAAAAGTGTAATGCATAAAGTAAGAGAAAAAAGAAAGGTACTCCTAACTTTAAAAAGAAAAAAAATGGTAGAAATATAACATTTAAAAGAATTAAAAAATTTGAAAGTTTAGACAAGAAATAAAGTTTAAAAAATACAAAATTCTCATATTTATTTTTTAAAAATAATTACAATTCCTAAATTAAATAATATAAACAAAACCAATGATTAAATAACGCAATATATTTCATACCTAATTATACGGGGGGAANTTTAATTCTATCTATTGAGACAGTTATTTTCTTACCATGAAAATCAATAATAAAGGTTTTATCAGAACGTTCAATTACCCGGTGTGGTCCGGTGTATGCAGGGGATAGTGGAGGACGAATTTTATCTACTTTTAAAAATATATGAGAACAAGATTTTAAATTAGGATTAATATAGAACTTATTTTTACTGTGTGCTGATGCTGGTACAGGACTTAATTTTCTCATTGCGGCCATTAAATTTGTGACATAATTTTCTGTTACTCGTGGAGATAAAGAATTTGCGTTTAAAAGATCCAAAGGTAGATGTAAGGAAGTACCATAAACAAGTTGTGCACAAGTTGCATTAATATCAGCTTTTAAAGCTGTGCGAATACCTAATAAAACAATTGGTAAAATTTCGGTCCATTTATTATTTTCCTGTGCTATTATAGAACCTTTAAGTTGTCTAAGAAATCGTTCTATCATTCTATTACTTTGCGCGTGATATGAAGTAGAATGGATGTGGTTACTGCCTAAGATATTAGTGATATTTCAAAAAAGAGTTGATTCAAAATTTCGGCCTTGATCGGTGGTTATAGTAATGGGTGTGCCAAATCTAGAGATCCAACCGTGAATAAGTGCTTTTGCGGTGGTCTCGGCAGTCATATCCGTAGCAGGGATAACTTCTGGCCATCTCGTGAATCTATCTATTATTGTAAGGCAGTATTGCTTGCCTTCAGAAATAGGAAGTGGGCCAATAAAATCCAGATGGATATGGGAAAATCTTGCATCGGGTTGAGCAAATGTGTTAAGAGAAGCTTTAGTGTGTTGGAAAACTTTAGCTCGCTGACATTTCTCATTTCTCACAAGAACAAACTTTTTTTTTGATATACACTTTCATGTTGGGCCACACAAATCGTTTAGAAATTAAATTTGTAGTTGAATATATTCCAGGATGAGAAAAATAATGTAAATTATCAAAAATAATTTGCCTGTATAATTTTGGATTTCTAGGGTACTTAGTTGAAAAATCACATATTAGTTTAACATCTTCCAAAGAAAAGTAATGTTTTTCTAATTTTGAAGATGAATTATTTGAATTAAATATTTCTTTCAATTCTGAATCTTCATTTTGTTCCTGTTCTAGTTTTTTATAGTCTATTAATGGAGGTTTTGAAATTGCATTTATTTCTATTCACAATAGAGTATCAGCAATTGAATTAGATTTTCCTTTTACGTGTTTAATATCAGTTGAAAATTGAGAAATATAATCAAGATATCTGAATTGGCGCGGGGAACATTTTTCAGGTTTTTGTTTAAACGCATAAATTAGAGGTTTTTGGTCAGTAAAAATAGTAAAACTTCTACCTTCAAGCATTTGAAGAATTTTTTTTTATTGACGCATATATTGCCAATAATCGTGATCAAATGTTGACCAATTTTGCTGACTTTTATTTAATTTTGTTGAGAAAAATGCATTTGGTTCCCACTCATTATTTTGATATTGCATTAAAGAACTGCCGATTTCAAAATATGACGCATCAGTCCACAGTCTTAAATTAGCACCAGGTTTAGAATATTTTAAAAGAGTTGCATCGGCTATTGCTTGTTTTGCAACAGAAAAAGATTTGTTTGAAGTATCGGTCCAAACTAACAGTAAATCAGATTTTTTTGATGATTAGTTAGATTTCTTAATATTTCATTGTCCTTCTAAAAACTTGGTTAAAGGTGATAAAATATGAGCTGCATTAGGAATAAAGCGTCGATAAAAATTAAATAATCCTAGAAATCTACGTAATTGAGTAATCATATTTGGTTTTGGAAAATTTAGAATTGCATTAACGCGATCATTTAAAGGTTCAATACCTTTTTCGGAAATTTTGAAACCTACAAATTGTAAACTATTCTGACCAAGTAAGCATTTAGAGGGATTTATTGTTAAACGAAAATACTGCAGTCTATCAAAAAGTGATTTTAAATATTTTATATGCTCTTCGGGAGATTCGGAAGCTATTAATATATCATCTATGAAAGCGTAAACGCCTTCCAAGCCTCTAGTTACTTCGTCAATAAAGCGTTGGAAAGTACTGGCTGCATTGCAAAGTCCGAATTGCATACGAGTACTTTCGAATAATCCGAAAGGAGTTATTATTGCAGTTTTATGTACATCTTCATGGGCTATAGGTATTTGATGGAAAGCTCGAATTAAATCAATGTGAGAAAATATTTTAGTTCCATGTAGTTCACTAGTAAAATCCATAATATTAGGAATTGGATATTTATCTTTAACAGTTTGAGCGTTTAAAGCTCGATAATCACCTACTGGACGCCAGTCCAAACTATTTTTCTTGGGAACTAAATGTAAAGGTGATGAAAAATTACTTTTGGATGGGCGCATGTGGCCTAAATCTAACATATGTTGAAATTCCATTTTTGCTATTTTTAGCCTATCGGGCGCTAGACGCCGAGGTTTAGCAAAAACTGGTGAACCAAAAGTTTCTATATGATGTACAACATTATGCTTAACAATTTGGTCTGAGCAAATAGGTTTTGTTATTTCAGGATATTCGTTTAACAATTTTTCATAATCATTTTCACCACAAACAATTTTGATTGAAATAATGTCAGTAGTTTTAAAAATATAATGAGAATTTAAATTAGCATTAATATCATTTAGACAACGTTTTCTAATATTAGGTTTTAGACTAAAATAGTATAAAAAATCTGCACCTATAATATGATTAGTTATATCACAAATATAAAATGGAAAATTAAACTTTCGTCTAAGACCGAAGTCTGAAGTTAACAATTTCTTACCGTATACTTTTATAATGGTATTGTTCACAGCTTTAAAGGTCTGTATCGGAGAAAGAGTTTTTTCTTTTTTATTTGCTGGAATAATTGAGCAATCACTTCCGGTATCCACTAGAAATTGTTTGTTAGATTGTCTATCTCTCACAAAAAGGCGACAATTTGTTGGAGGCAAGATGTTAGTCGCACTTACTCTCGCCTTTCTTGGTTTTTCTGGTAGATGCAGGGTTTGACAAACTTTCTAGCATCCGATTTAAATTTTTGATGATAGAAACACATTTCGGAGTTTCGATGTGGAGATGAGGATTGGCTTTGGCGATTACGAAACTGTGAATAGTTCCGGTTGTGAGACCTACAGCATCTCTGCAATGCTGCTACTTCTTTTCTCAGTGCTTTAACTTCTTCTAAAAGCTCAAAGGTGCATTGTTAGTTTGAAGAGACTTCGCTAACTTCACTTGAAGTAGACACTTCCATTACTTTATTAGCAATTTCAGCAGCTCTTGTTGAGTTCAGTGAAGGGATTGCGACCAATATCGACTGAACATGCTGCGGTAGCTGATTTAGAAATAGTTCCAAAAGTAGGAAATCTGAGATTTCGTGGGATTCAGCTCTTCTCTGCATAGTGCGCAAGAGTTTGCTAGGCTTTCTATCTCCTAGTTGCTCTCCGGAGAGTAAACGTCGAATTTCCTGAGACTTTGTTTCCCCTCAGCATGCAATAATTTCTTCTTTTTGAAAGGATCGTCTGCTTCAGGAGTTATAATGACGTCCCTTACAAATGCAGCTACTTCTAGAGTAAAGTGGACAAGGCAGTAGTTAAACTTTGTTTTGCTCTCTGTAATCGGCTTCGGTGTCGTAAGCTGGAAAGTTGCTTCGACCATATGGAACCACAGGTGTGGATCAGAGATATTGAAGATGGGAATTTTTACTGCAGACGATTCCGCCATAGTTGCAGTTTCCTATTAATCCAAGAATAATACAAGAAGCAAAAACAGGAAAAATGAAAAATAAAAGTTGCTTGTATTGTCAGACGTCTGGGTCACCATTGAAGTAAGCGAAGATAGCTCCTTTGTAATACTAATATTTTTTTGAACATACTTACATTATATACAAGTTGGTTTGAATTACAAGAAACATTATCACAGCAGGTGATGGGAGAAATACTGGCAAGCTGCCATATGCATGCTGGTATTTATACAATTCTAAGAATATGATGACGTCAGAACTCTTAATTCAATTCACTTCAAAAATAAGTAAAAACACAATTGATTAAAGACAAACAGATAATAAAATGAAATAAACTTGATTTTACGATGAGCGGCGAACCCATCACCACAAACATAAATGAAGAAAATATAAATGTTGTTAATTCTGAGTCTACAAATCAAATGATTAGTTAAAGAGTTATTTAATTTTTATAGTTAATTTAATGCTGTGAAGACTTAATTGATGTGGGAGCTTTCTATCAGTCCAAATCAGTTTTCTTCTTGCTCTTAAATAGGATTATATATTTTTTTAGTCTTCCAAAGAACCGCAGCGGTAACTTGCAATTAAATCAAGTAGTTTTTCAAAAAAAAGAAAAATTGTTATATAGAATTTTGTTTATCAAGTACAATTTATGTGAAATTTAATAAAAAATAGTAAAGTTGATAATGTAAAAATTAGCTTGCTTAAAATCAAAGTTTCTATTTCAGTAATATTTAGTTTTATTCACCACATTAGTTGAGGCACTGAAATTTTATTATTGCAAACCAGTGTTTTTCTTGGCAGTTGGAAGCCCACCTAGTTTTGGTACCAACTGATCTGAAGAGCATGTTGACCACTATCATCTCGTTGGTCTCCAAATAATCTGAGCCTCCATTTCCCTCTTGGCCGACAGCTGGCTGTTGCTAGACTGATTTTTTTTTTTTTTATTTGATTAAAGGCTTTGTATCAGTTTTAAACATTCGGGTTTTAACCATTGCTTTTATTCATCTTGCTATTCATTTTGACCACTGAAATTTTAAAAATTATAGAATAAGTGGAAGTTATGCTAATTAGTTTTGCTGTTGCCTTTGAACTTAGATGGTTTTGTAATTTAATTGGGATTGTTTCAAACTTAGAAAATAATCTTCCTGTTGATGAAGAACTGACACAACAGATATAATGGGAATTTATAAAAGGAACTCATTTTTTATGTTTTTAATTGCAACTGATAGACACATCTTTCACAATTATATGATCATTTTGGGCCTTCTTATTCTATAAGGATATTTTATTAATTAGTCTCTTAAACTTATTAGTGTATTCTTTAAGAGCATTCTTCCTTTTTTTTTTGCATTAAGTTATTTCTAAAAAGAAAATCCAATTGAAATCATTTTTAACAGTTCTGACCCTTCTGGGATGGTTGAAACCACTTATGGACGATTAAAACTTTTCCCCCCAGTGGTCAAAATCAGTTTTGGACAGTTAAAATGATTATCTTGTTTATTAAACATGCAAATTAGCTTTGTTGTTTAATCTCACTGCTTATGTCTTTCTGAATATTCAGTAGAATTTTGAAGAAACTTTTATAGCTGTAAAATCAATTGCTTATTTTCAGGTCAGGCTTTAATTTTTTTGAAATATATTTTGCAGTATTTTTTGTTAAGTTAAATAATTTCTTTTTGAAGGTTCAGATAATGATTGGAGTTCTTCTGTGGATGAATTTAATAGTAAATCTTGTCAACATAAGAAAATCCCATCTTTTTGTAGGAGACACGTGAAACCTAAAAAGCAACATGAAATTTTCCGCATTGCAAAAGTAAGTAAAACTTATGAATTCTTCATAAATAATAAGTATTATGTCCATCTTTATAGTTTTTTTTCTTCATAATTACTAACTAAACTATTAAATACTAATTAAGTTACAATCCTATTTTCCTAATGATAAAAAATATCTATTATTTGTCTAAGGATTTCAGTCTTTTTGTCAGATTAATTTGGCAGACTGCTCATACAAACTGTTATAAAATGCATGCATGATTTTAGTTGTATAATAAAGATATTTATGTTATCATATGATTTCTATAAATCTGTCAGTTGCGTGAAATAATTTTATGATATTCAACTTCTGTTCACTTTGGTTTTGTTCAAATTCATATTAATATTCTTACTGTGCTGTGTGTATGTTTGATTAGCAAAATAATTTTATTTATTTAAGAAATATTGTATGTATGCATCCTAAATATATGAGATTCTTGCTTTAACTTGTACTGTAAAAGTAAGTTTAATGATCCTTATATGCATCTTACTGTAATTATAAATTTTTGTGTTAATTGAATAACAGACATGGTGACAGCTGCTTTCAACTAAGTAGAGTAAAATAACATTTTAGGCGACTTCAATGATGCATCAGACAGTCCGGATATGTCATTTTATATGTAGAGATTATTATTGTTATTTGACTCTGTAGTTTGTCAAAAGTGGTGACACTAAATTAAAAGACACTTAAAATAGTATAAGTGTTTCACGATGGAAAAGTGGCTCTACTATATTTTTCTTTCTCTTGCATATACTATCAATGCTAAAATGTTATTTTACTAAACTGATAAAAGAAAAAATTGATTTTTGAAAGAAACATTTTTATGCAGTGTGTAGCGTATACAAATATGCCAAATACATATGAATCTCAATTTTTATTATTTTTATTTTTACTCATAGTTTTAGCCTTCACTTTGGATCAGAGACATACGTAGATATAATTTTGCAATCATGTTTAATAATTCATAACTTTTTATTCACAGGTTACTGACATCATGTTGTCAAATTTTAATCTAAAAAATATCATTGACATTGGGTCTGGGCTTGGTCACCTTTCTAGATTTCTGAATTTAACTTACAATTTTAATGTGACAACTGTCGAAGCAAATCATCACAATGTATCTGGGGCTGTAGCTTTAGATAAACAAGTGAGTTTCTTACACAATTTTTGGGCTTTTTTAAAAATGCACCTTTTATTTTTAGTCTTGTTCATCTTTTACATTGATTTTCAAAAAATTTCCATTTTATGTTGTTTATTAATTTTACTTTTAATTCATGTGAGTTGTATATTTCAATAATTCATGATATGTAGATATGGGTTTTTATAAAAAGAGTGAAAAATATATATTTTTGCTGACATATAAAATTGCATTTTCATAACTTGTAAGTTTTGACATATTTATCAGAAACTTATTTATTAAAAAGGAGAGTTAAAGGACAACTTATTACAATTAGTTTACAGTTTTAACAGAACTCTCATTTATCTACCACTTGGGATAGTTTTTGTTAATAACCTTGCTTTATGCATTGTAAGAATTTTTTCATTTCTGTTATTAAAACAAGAAAAAGTGCAGATTACTGTAAACAAAGAAAATGAATTGTTTGTTACTGGTTTAATATATTTAAAAGAATGAAAGAAGAAGACAAATACTTGTTTTAGATAGATTGGACTAGCTGAATTGTTCTTCGTTACAAAGTGAATTAATATCAATGAATCAGTACTGAACAATACTACAAAATCATGTACAGAACTGAAAGACATACCAGTTAAAAAGTTAAAATGATTCTAATTTTTTTAAATTTATCATTATTTTTGTCTTCATTGTTGGTGACTTTGTATTATTTGATTAGACAAAACACGTTTTAAGTAGTTTACCTCATCAAAATAACAATTAACTGTATCTTTTGGAATGATGTTAATATTCGAGACTCAGTTTCTGAGGTCAAGATTTTTAATGACAAATGGAAAACACAAAAGATTATTGAAGATTAAATTTTATAAAATGAATTGAAACTTAAATTTTGTTTTATGCTGAGTTACATCATTTATTTTAAATTTAGTCCTAAAATTAGATTACTACTGTGATATGGGTGATGCGAGTTCTTACATAAGTATGGGATGTGCTTTTTGCTGACAAGGGGGGAAGAATTTAAAGACATCCCCCCCCAAAGGAAATTTGTTTCATTTTTGGAATTGTAGTATATTTAATGCATAATTATGTCTCCACCAGGCTTTCTGCTCTTTAAAGAAGTTAAAGAAAGAGACACCTGACACTCTACCACATCATGTAAAAGAATGTATGAAGTTTACCTCTTCTGATGCATGCCTGAAAAAAGTAGGAATCTCTAGCTTATGATTTTTATGTAATCTGAATAACTTTGGATCAAATGATTCAAGTATACTACGACTCAATCTGAATGGTTTGGGGGTCTTATGTTAAATAATAAAAATTTATAAGAATATTTAATGATGCTGATAATAATTAATAATGCTAATTAATTAGTGCGGAAGATATTTTAAGTTGCAAAATGAAACACAAAAATATATCAGTGTAAAAACTGCTATGTATGCTTTTTTTTGAGACAAATTTGATCGAATTGTTTCTGTGTTATAGTTTAGTTATAGTTATGAACAAAGTTAAATGTTGATTTCTTAAGAACCAAATGACTGATTTTTTTGTAATTTTATATTTTGTTATTAAAAATTGCATTCTTTAAAATAATATAAATATTTGTAATTCATATTTTTTCGACTTTTATTGAACAAAATAATAATATTTTAATTCATAATATTTAAAATTAATATTAAATATTAATAAATAGAAAAATTATTTTTATATGGATTTATCTTTAGATAAATGAATTTTATAATTGTGCACAAACATTTTTCGATTTGTTAAAAAGATTTCAAGGTATGGAAAAATACGCAAAAATGAATTTAATATTTAGGGATCTAAACTTTCAACAGCTCTCCTGGCCAAACAAGCGGGACCCTATTTTCAAGTCAAGAAACTAAATATGTTGATTTTGTAACATAAAATATAGTCTGTTTTGTATCAGGAACCATCAGGTTCTGGCGTGTGAAAATATGAACTTTAAATCAAAAGTTGTTCATAAAATACTTTTCAAAGACATAACTATAAACAAAAATAAACATATTGATTCTCGAAATACTAATTCATTCTGATATTAACCTGTCAACCCCACCTGCCATTCATATTGCTTATCTGACATGAATCAAGGATTTATTGTTATCAATAAGCTTTTAGTGAAATTTGATTTCGATTAAATAGAGCAGTAGGTAAGAAAAAATTACGTTATTTTTTTAAATAAATGGAAAGAAAAAAGAATTCAGTTTAAATTGCATCAATGCTTATTGCTAATACAGGGGTCTGTCCAGACATTTTGTGAAAAGTCCGTTTTTGTAAAATTTTGAAAAAATTACTCATAATTTGTGAATATAAAATAAACGTTAAGTCACATTCTTTCAACCAGGGTCCTGCTTTTATGCATTTGTGCAAATAGGGTCCTGTTATTGCAAAAAACTTTTTCAAGGAGTTTTTAAATTGTAAATAGATACAAGATTATGCTCAACACTGTAAAATTATAATTAAAAAAATTAAATTTTAAGAAATAAACAGCAATTGCTGCTACTAAATTAGAGATGCAACCTACAAATATTTGGTATTTAGCCTATACTGCTGAATGCAGAATATTCATTTCGAACGAATACTGGAAGAAGCGTCTGCCGAAGACAAAACTTAGTTTGTTTACATCTGTCTTTCTTTCCCTCTCTTCCTGGGAAGGATTTATTCGATTAACAAAACAATAATGAAGATAAATAATTTTGTGAAGGGTCCGAATAAAAGATAAATCATTTTGTGAAGAGTCCGTTTTTAAGTTAAAATATTTTGTGAAGGGTCCGTTTTTATGAAAAGATATTTAACGGACCCAAATTTCTTCTAAACAGACCCCTGCAATAGTATGCAAAAAAAACTTGTTTTTCTCTTTTCTTTTTTAACATATTTTCCCAAAGGGACTAGTTCAAATCAGCTATTTTTTTCTGATTTTTTAAATTTTTTCTTAAAGAGACTTTTTTCCGATTGGGTCTAAAATTGTTTCAAGTAGCCAACTTATCTCCAAGTTAGCTTAAAAAATTCTAGAGAGAGACACACAAACTCCTTATATTATTATTTTAGACTAGTTGAATATTCATTCTTCAAATAGTGTAAAACAAAGAGTAAATAACACTGGGACAAATTTTATATTGCATTTATGCAAATACTTAATAGGGCCGTGTTCAGGTGTGGAGATTTCAAATCAGAAATTAGTTTTGCTTCTGAATTGATTGATTCTTTTTAAATGATATTTTTCTTTGTCGAAATGTACAAGTTTAAAAATGTTATGTATAATAGGGATGGTATAAATGTTGCAACATACTTCCAGGGAAGATAGGGCGCAACATCAAGATTAAAAATGCATAAGAATCCCTGCTCGAAAATGTCGTCCTATGCGGTTGGGGTGCTTCCCCTATTATGACTTGTTCAAAAGCACAGAAAGAAACAGTTCATAATGGGGAAGCACCCTAGCAGCATACTACAACATTTCCATGTATGAATTTCTTTGCAATTTTATTCCTCCTGATGTGCCTTCGCCTAGAATTTTTTTGCAGCATATATGCGACTCCCTGTTATAAATAACTTTCTTAACTTATACATTTCAACGAAGAAATCAACTGAAAATTTCATAAAAAAAAAGAACTGCTGGAGCTTGAAGAGAGAAAGGAATTGCTGATTTAAAGTCACCAATACAAAAGTATTTAAGATCTCTCAAAAATCTCATGCAACAGAAAAAAAAAATTTGTTTCTAGGTATAATCAATAAATCATTATTAATCAGCACTACACAATCATGCACATATGCCTTTCTAGAAGAGTAACTCTTTAAATGTTATTTTAAGGAGAGGGATGTGTAAACTGTTTCTTTATTTTAATGATATGTTCAATGCTTGGGATATTAGGAATCGGACGCAACTGTTATTTGTATAAATACTTCAGATGTTGTGTTATCATTGCTTCATATTATTGTTTTATGCTGTCAAGCTGCTGTGTGCTAGCTTGTTTATTTTTCTTAAGATGTTGTAACGTTTCCTTGGGAACCCCGTGCTTTGGCACACATGTATTTAATCCTTCAAAGTCCTTCATAAAATATCGTCATATGTAGTTTAACCCCTTAACAATCGGTTAATTTTTAAGAAAACGGTCATAAAAGTGTCTATTTTGCCAAATACACATATTTGATTAGTGCTAGTATCTAGTTTAAAATGAAGTAACTATTTACAATTACCTTAAAAATATCCTGGTACTGCTATATAGTGTGTAAAATGAGAAATAAAATGTTTTCCGGGCAAAAGAAATGAATTAGTTGTATTATTATTGGCGCATTACTACTGAACACTCCAGCCTGTCAATATCACGGGAGCGAGAAATAGCGAGCCAAAACTCACCCCGTCATTTTCACGGGAGCGAGAAGGAAGGGGTTAAAATAAATAATTGTTCAAACTGCAAACAGATAGTATTTTTGCTTCTCCAACACTGCGACAAAATAACTCTGTATCCAGCCCAAGAATATCGATATATAAAAACGAAATTAATGTTCACCAATAACTCTAGAAAGGGAGCTTTGATTTGGATCGTTTTTTTAGGCAGTTTGCAAATTTTCAACAGATGTTTTTTAAACAATCGCCTCTATCCAGCGTTATATAGTGAAATACATTTCATTGAGAAAAATCATTGTTATACATTAAAACGTACGCTATCTTGGAATCAACATTTTTCTATTCGTCCAAATGGCATTTCAATTTTAAGGCTCTTAAATTTATTAAAGCTAATTCAAAAACATTGTAATACCAACTGTTAATAATAGTTAATTGTTTAAATCCTTTTTGATCAGGAATTTTAAATTCTCAAACTTTATTCTTTCAATGAAAATTCATCATAAAAAAAAATCAGAATCATAAAAAAAATCAGTTCTTTTCAGTTTTTGGTACAATGAAGTCAAGTTTGCAAACAAGTATAGGTTTTGATTTATGCACATCACCTATAATACACATAAGTGCATTGAATGCGACAATATCATAAATATTATACAAATCTATAATTATTGTGAATGCTGCTAAATTTTATTTGAATAACAAAAATATTGACACCGATGTAGAAATTAGATCAATTGGGAAAATGCTGCACTATCTTTTTGACAACGCATTACAATATTAAAATTTGTTCTCATTAGTTAAAAGCAATCGCAGGCACATGGTCCTTATAAACTATAAGTAGAAGATGAGAGGAAATAGATAGATACCCTGAATGTACAGAAATTATATATCTGAGTACCCTTATTTAAGACTTAGGTCAGATAAGTTTCAACTCCTGGCCCTCAATTGTTAGAAAAGTTTTTTTATAGCAAAAATCTCTCTACCAGGCCTAAAAAAGTTAAATAAGACTTGCTGGTAAGCTAAAGTACATTTTAATTAGCAGTTAAATGTGTAAATAAATGTGAAGACTGATTTTTAACATAAATACTCATTTACTTGTTTATGATGCCTTTTTGTTCTTGAACAGTACCATTAATCTAAATTTTTTTTAAAGTTTATTTTTTACTTCAAAATGTATTATTATTGTTATTTTTTTATATCTGTGTATTCTTTTAACTTAAAAAAATTATAACAGTTAAATTTCATTTCGTTTGAAAAAACCTACAAATGAAATTAATTGGCTTGCATAGTTAATAATTGTAATTAAGTGCACATTATGATTTTGAAAAAGTTGCTAGTTTGATTAATCATCCATCAAAGGTGCCATTGAAATAATTAGCACGTTTTTTTTTTTTTTAATGTTTGCATATGTTATACTACTAAATATTTTTATAAATTGACCATAACACCATGAGTACATGCAAGAAACAAACCCACTCTCAGCAATCTCACTTGAGCGTTATGAGTTTGTTATACACTGAAGAGCCAAAAAAACTGGTATATCTGCCTAATATCGTGTAGGCCCCCCGCGAGCATGCAGAAGTGCCGCAACACGGCGTGGCATGGATTCGATCAATGTGTGAAGTAGTACTGGAGATAATTGACACCATGAATCCCGCAGGGCTGTCCATAAACCAGTGGGAGTAAGAGGGGGTGGGGATATCTTCTGAACATCACATTGCAAGGCATCCCAAATGTGTTCATTAATGTTCATGTCTGGGGATTTTGGTGGCCAGCGGCTCTCTTCTGAATTTAGACACTATTGAACATTATTGAACATATTTGGGATGCCTTGCAACATGATGTTCAGAAGATATCCCCACCTCCTCTTACTCCCACTGGTTTATGGACAGCCCTGCTGGATTCATGGTGTCAATTATCTCCAGTACTACTTCACACATTGATTGAATCCATGCCAAGCCGTGTTGCGGCACTTCTGCGTGCTCGCAGGGGCCCTACACGATATTAAGCAGGTATACCAGTTTTTTTGGCTCTTCAGTGTACTTACATATTGCCTTGAATTTTGACAGTGCAATTTTAAATCTCAAAATATTTGAAATTCTATTTATTTTAAGAGACAGACCAACTGGTCGTTGAAAGTATCTAGTTTAGCGTGAAAAAAATGATGCTATTGTTTGCGGCCAACTCAAGATTATCAAAATTTACAACAATTAAGCAAATTCGTTCCATTAATTTTGCTGCTAATTTCCTTAATTTGTCAATTTTATGTCATTTATAGAAACAAGTTTTAGAAGCCTAACTAATGAACAAAAATAAACACATGGTATTTGATTGTTTTCAAACCCTTGATTGGGTGATGCCTATGGGTATTGATTTTGCATTTGCTTTCCTTATGTAAATAATCAAAGATAAAGAATTATGAAAAAGCGTGTTATGAATTCTCTGTGAAATTCAATTACATTCAATCACTGCTGTTAAGGTAGAAAATGTCGCCAATGTTATCTTTTGAAAATACGATATATAGACAGCATCATTGACAATTTATATATTTATAATAGTTAATGTAAAAATATATTAATAATAGTTAATGCTTAGCCTATGAGCAAATTATTTTTGCTAACCTCTTTATAATGGATTAATTGAAATTTTGTAACGAATTTTGGAATTGGGGGCACTAAAATTAATAATTGTACCCATTGTCTTAGCTTCAAGACTCTAGCACTACAATAACGCAGTAAGTTTTTCTTACAATATTATCAATTATTTTATCAAAAATTTATGATATTTTCGGGAAAAGAGTGTGTTATTTCAATGAATTTTGTTTTCTTTATATTTAAATAATTTTAATATTTATTTATAATATATATTTTTTTAAATTTTTTTCTTAGGTCATTTCTGAAACATGCTTCTCTTCAAAAAGTTCATCACCTGTATGTACTATTTTTTTATTTTATATTTTCATTAAATTTGTTTAAAATTTTTTTTCAGAGATGTATTTATGAAAAATTATAACCGGTATTAGAATACTACCTAGCAATAGAAAAGTCTACAGAAGTGACAGAAAACTCAAAATTGAGATTTTTATATATTTAGCATTTTTGTATGATGAGCTAGATATTGCTGTACATAAAATTTTTTTGTAAATTTTCATTAAATTTGTTTTAAATTTTTTTTCAGACTTGTATTTATGAAAAATTATAACCTGTATTAGAATACTACCTAGCAATAGAAAAGTCTACAAAAGTGACAAAAAACTCAAAATTGTGATTTTTATATATTTAGTATTTTTGTATGATAAGATAAATATTGCGAAATTTTTTTGTTTAAAAAAATAAAAAAACAATCAAGCATGAGTTTTCTGAAATTCTATTTATGCATTGATAGTATTAGAAAAATAAAGAAAAAACTTGTCATGGTGCTTGTCACTTATGTTGTTTTTTCAATTGCACAGCCGGAAGTTTTATTCAAATTTTTTTAAATATATTTCATGTAGATACAAAATTTATTAAGTACTTTCAATAGTCTGTGCTAATATTTCATTAGATTATTTTTTTTTTCTAATCTTTATACTCTCTAAATTGTTCCTGGTCTTAATACATTTTAACATTTACATAAAAAAGTCTTGATTGCTACAACATGTTCATAATTTAAATATATTTGAATATCTGAAAGCCATTTTTTGAAAAGGAATTTTCTTTTTTAAATGTTAGGTAACTGGAAAAATTTTCATTATTATTATGCAGTCTCCCGCAAGATTAGAAAATTTGATTTTTGGAAAAGTGCAATTTTTAGCCAAAACCTGGAAAATAGCCAATTTCAAACCCATGGTAATAATTAATAGTCAATGATGTTCGTGTAAATGAGTCTAGAATCTAGTTTTTATTATTTCTTGTAAAACTTCCACTCCTACCTTTATTAAATTTTTTGACGTTTATTAAAAAAATATTAATTTTTAAAACTTAAAAATTTGTTTCAATTTTTTTCTTAATGTTTATTTAATAAATAGCTATCCTTAAATAACCATAATTTTAACACAATGATACTAGGTTTTTGCAAATGAATCTTTCTATAAAATATATTACTTAATATACATGACTTTCTATAAATATCTATAAATATAAAATATATGACTTTCTATATGACTTATGCAGGGCCGGATTAACCTATAGGCACACTAGGCACATGCCTAGGGCCTACGAAATTCAGGGGCCTACGAAAAACTTGGGAGAAAAAAATTTGCTGACAAAAATAATTTAGCTTTGAAAACAACAAGTGTATTCTGCACAAAATTATGAAGATACAAATAAAAATATAATATTTTTCGGTAATAAATTATTTTGCAGAATCTTATGATCTAATGTGTTACTTTTTTGCAATTTTTGGATTCAACGAAATCTTGTATTATGCTGTTGAATTCCAAAATGACTCATTTGAAAAAACGTGACAAACATTTTATTAAAATAGTATTAAATAATTTTTTTTCTATTAGTAAACATTTAACCTACCTTGCAAATTTATTTATAAATAATTTCAAAAGATTTACTTTTGACAATGTTAATTTCCTTCACTTAGTTATCATAGTAGTATCATGAAAACTATGAAGCTATTTGTAGTATAAATATTTCTTGTAATTAATCTCACTATCAATTTCACTGTTTTCTTTGCTGGTTTGTTGTTGTATTGTTGACGTGAAGTGTTTACATAGTTATCGATCGAACTAATCATAATGGTATTATCGATATCAACTGCAATATCGGCAGTATGTCGGTATT